GATGCGTAGGCAGGAAACCCTAGCATTGGCGTCGGTGGCGTGGCTACGAAGGTAAGGATGCAGGCATGCGTATGAAACACGGAGGGCAAACCCTTTGGTTTTATAGAGGCGACGGGTGTGAGGAAACCAACTGCTCGCCTAGATCTCCGTGCCCATCCTATCACCACGTCTCATCACGGGGCATGCGCACGCAACCTCTGGTCATCCCCTCAGAAAATGTGTTCGATGTTTTGCCTCCCTGAATGGGCCATGACCTATCACAGGTAAGAGGGATACAGAGCTAAAAACGCTCATACGGCCCATCTAGTCCCAAGAGTTCGAAGGTTAGCCCACCAACGGGTTCGACGACCGCTCCGGACGCCTTTAGAGTGAGGGGTGCAAAGGGATGGGCCCGCTAGTGGCTAGTACCCAGGCACACGAGCGCCACGGGCATCTCGGCCCGCGTTCGAGTCTTAGCCGGATACAATCCATGGGTTTTTCTTGAAGAAAGGTAGAGAGCCCTCGAGATAGGTCGAATGGACCCAAGAACTATTTGGATTGACCACTGAGAATCTAGAGTCGGTCACCAGCTGACCCAAGCCGGACCCCCATGAATGATATGCCGGGGCCCCACTCGGACTAGCCTATTAACAGCCCATCGAGCACCATGATTCGTCCATAAAGAAAAATCATGGCACGGCTCGGCCCCTCTATTTTTATCAGAAAAAATGCTTGAGGGAAGACGGTCATAAAGACGAGCTGACCCTCGACCGGACCCCTGCTACATGTAGGGGCTCATGGAAATTTGGACTCATAAGGAGAACAAACGTGCGGTCGCAGAACGACGGTAGGTCGATTAGACCCCCATAGGGGTCAGAATGAGGAGAGACCTTTTTCGACCCATCAAATCTCACGACTATACCCCCAAGAGGTCCGATCAAGACGAAAGGGGATTGTCGTCGCCAGGACACGCCATGGGTGACAAAAGAAGGCCATGGCCCTCAGAGTCCTCCCATCCAGAAAAGCCTCCGAAGGAGTATTCTACTCCTCCATAGGCTCGGGGGCTACACCCACCGGGTCCGCTCATGCGCACCCACTGGCAAGTCAAAAAATCTCCCGAACGATTCTACCCAAATCACCTGGGGGCTCAGGGGCTCGGGGGCTACTGTTGGGGACCAATACTAGAGTACCTGAAGAGGAGGAGCTAATGGTCATCAACATTGATTCACCCAAGCAGTCAAGTGCGTGATTACGGCTTCAACCGGCCCCTAGGTGCACAAGCTCCGCCTCACCCGACCATTGGGGGATGGGCTCCACCTCGCTTGACCTCTAGGTCAGGGGCTTTGCCTCGCCCGACCTCTGGGTCAGGGGCTCCGCCTCGCCTAACCTCTGGGGGGTAAGCTCCGCCTCGCCCAACCTCTAGGTCAGGGCCTTTGCCTCACCCGACCTCTGGGTTAGGGGCACCGCCTCGCCCGACCACTAGGGGACGGGCTCCACCTTGCCCAACCTCTAGGTTAGGGGCTCTGCCTCACCCAACCACTTGGGGAGGGCTCCGCCTCGCCCGACCCCTCAGGCACGGCTCCTAATGGATGCCCGTACCACCGCCAACCACTACGGGCCAGAAGGTACAACCCAAGGTCAAACTTCTGGCACCGTGCAGGGAGTGGGCATGTCTCGACATTACCCATGGCCATGACATGTCACTCCAGGGAATTCACATCACCAACAGTGATGGACACGTGGTCACTATGCTGCCTACTGCCCGTACGGCAGCTGACCCACACGCCGGTTCGCCACATCATCCGCTAGGACGGGATGGGATGCCATGATCTGCTGATGATGCTGGGGCATGGCATCAACGGTGAACAGGAGCTCGGCGCGGAGCCGTCCCTGTCACCATCTATTGTATCAGCGGGCCCGCCTAAAGGAGAAGAAAGACCTAGCGGTCTAGGAAGCCTTCTTCTCCTAGGCTTGTCTCCCTCTTTCTCTCTGTAACCTGCTCTTTCCCTTTGTCTATAAAAGGCGAAGCAGGACACCCCATGAAAGACAGGGAGATATACGACTGAACACGGCTCTATACGCCTTAGACGCCTGAGACATCAGAACACATCTACACGCCTTAGCAGCACACGCACACACCAGAGACTTGGTATCATTTCCCTCTCTCGCTCGTTTGTAACCCCTACTATAAACTTTCAGCGCCGGTAACACGAGCTGCAGCGAACTGGATGTAGGGACATTCCGCCCGAATCAGTATAAACCCATGTGTCTTCCGAGCACACCATTCGAGCCAGACGCGCAATCTAGAAATTTCCTAGTTGGTAACTCGAAACACCGACACTTAGCCTATTCATTGATCTAAATTTTTACTTTCAAATTTTAACCTTATTAATTGCAATAGATTTTATCCTCAAGTTATGTAACACCCCATCCTATTAGTAGCCTATAGTAGTTGGCCCATGTGGCCCATGTATATTTGAGGGATATTTTTGTTTTGTTTAATAATGATAGAAGTGGTAATTTAGATGTAAATTTAAGAGGTTATGTCAATTATCTATCATAATAACATGTGGTAATAGATGTAAACTTAGGTTTGCATAAATCATGTTTCTTAATGGTATAAGGTGGATAATTTAAATATTGATTCATGGGTGACTTTATGTTGTTTTACACTGCCATATAGGTGGGTAATTATTTGAGGAATAGAATAGACACTACTACATAAAACTTAACTGAGGCGGCAGAGGCAACCGCCTCCGTCAAAAGGTCACGGTTAATCCATGAACAATAGAGGCGGTTGCCTTGCCCACCTCGGTTAATCGATTAACTGAGGCGTATGCCTTGCAAATGCCCGCCTCGGTTAATGGATTAAAAAAACAAAAAAAAACCAGAGCCCACCAGTGAATCCGTCTCGGAGCCCACCGGCCGCCTGTTCCACGTGGCCCCACCGCCGACGCGAGTCGGATTCGGTGTCCCCTTGCTGCCGGAGGGAGGAGGGAGGTGGCTCCCCGCACCGCCATCAGATCTGGCCGGGGGTGGAGAGCGGATCCACGCCGCCGTCGGAGGGAGGAGGCAGGTGGCTCCCCCACGCTGCCACCGGATTTGGCCAGGGGAGGAGGCTGCGTCCATCGCGCCATCGACGCCAGAACCGGATCTGGGGAGGAGATAGAGGGAGGGGCCGTTGGAGATCCGCGCCCTAGATCCGCCGGGGAGCGCGCCCTAGATCCCCACATGCCACCGCTGCCAGTGCGGGCCACGCCACTCGCCGCGCTCCTAGGGCCACGTACCGCGCTCACCGCCGCTCCCTCCTCTCTGTCCGGCTTGCGATGGGCTCCGAAAATGAATTTATGGAGGCAGACACCTTAAAACGCCCGCCTCGGTTAATTTTGATTAACCGAGGCATTTGTTTCTAAGTGACCTCATCGGTTAATGTATTAACCGAGGCGGTTGCGTTAGGACAACCGTCTCGGTTAATCAATATTAATCGAGGCGGGCGTTTTTAAGGTGTCCGCCTCCGTTAATGATTAACCGAGGCGGTTGCTGAGTCGGCTGCCGGCCACCCATTAACGGGGGCAGGCAACCGACCCGCCCACCTCGCCGACCTTTTGGCAAACGCCTTGGAAAAGTTTTATTGTAGTAGTGAGATTCGATGGCTATTATTATTAGTGGTATTAGTCTACCGAATTGATGTAGAGCAAAGTAAGTAGGCGATTGTCCTCACATCCTGGCAATAGCCTTACATTCATCGCCGATAAACACTGCAGCACCAGTAGCAACATCTCCATGATATCAACACATATAGGGATGGAATGTCATATACCGATGTGCTAGCATCGTGCACACAACTGGGGTTTCTTGGGGAGGATGAGAGGAGGTTTTGGCTAGGGTTCTATAATGGGACAAACCTAATCTTGCCTCTAGCCCCGCCTCCTCAAACTTATAAACTATATTAATGGGCCTGAAAGACCATTAGGACTCTCACCCATCGTGGGTCAATATCCTATCCTAGCCCATGTATAGATCCAATACGTAACATGTAGCGTTGCCTCTTAGTCAAATCATCAACATGATCCATACTGTGTGTCTGTGTTCACATGTTTCACAGTTCCCATGCAGATGACTGATTAAACTTTGTTCACAGTAGATCATCACTAGATGGATTATGTCTCTGTTCTTTGGTTGTCTCTTGTTTTGCTTGAAAATCTGTACCTTTTATGTACTTATCCTCCTTTCCTTAACAAAAGAAGCATCTTCAGCTTGAAGCATTTCGATCTCAACTGGAGTATTGTCCACCTCTTTTTCTTTATCCCCACATGAAGAAACAACAGTACCAGTCCGCACCTCCCTTTCCTCCACGATTTTGTCAGTCAGTTCATTTGAAACGGTGTCAACAGTGACATCCATGATTTCAGCAGCTTTCAGGTTCACTCAGATTTTGTGTAATAGCTATAAAGGATATGATGAGTTGGAAAGGGAACGATAAGCTGTTTTTGGAGACATAAAACTTGTACTACTACTAACCATTCCTCCGAACTGCATCTCCCTCTCGATTGTCTTTCTGTTCTCGATCGAATCCCTTCCCCATTGCTTACACAAAAGTCCAACTCGCACAAAACCTTGCATTGGTGTTGTATGTTTGTTTGAGATTTAAAACACTTAGCTTCCACACAATCTAGTCTCATGCATGCAAACTGCTTTTTAGAATCTCTGGCTAAAATAAGCAGAGCTATGGCAGCAGTAAGATTAAAAAACCGAAACGAAGCACTATTAGTACTAAGATTTGTTAAACAAAGCAGAGCTATGTACCTGTAGAAATATATGGATGGATCCTTGCATGGAAATGGGGCTCTTCTTAGTCTTTGCTGTTCTCATGTACAATCAAAGGAACACACACATACACAAGCATGCTCAGCCAGGCCAGGGCCTAGCTCTCTACGTACACACGGTGCGTGCAGTGCATCCCTGATGAAACCAAACCATCAAAGAAATAGTAATCCCGATCGATGCACAATTACATTATATTATGCGACGCTGAAGGAGGCGGCGGCCTTCTCGACGCCCTTCCTGGCGCCCTTGAACCACCTCTTGTCGCCGGCCTGCGCCTTGCAGATGTAGAGCTTGCCGTCGGAGACGGTGGCCGTGATGAGCTGGTGCTTGCCGCCCTCGTCTCCGTCCGCCGTCCTCGTCAGCACCGACACGCTGTAGTACTGCTTGCCGTCCACCACGGGCGTGGAGCTCTCCAGGACGTTGGCGGTGGCCACAGCGCCGGTCTCGAACCCACCCTGCAACAGCATGCGTGTAAGCTAGGCAGGCAAGCAGATCGATGACGATGGCAATAAGCACCAAGCAAGCAAGCAGAGCCAGCCACACAGAGACGACGAGCATGGCCATGGCGGCGGGCGAGGCGAACAACACAAAGTAGCTAGCTAGCAAGGTTGTTACGGACCTCGGAGTCGGTCTTGCCGCCGAAGGCCTGCTTGCCGAGCAGGAAGTCGACCTGGGAGAGGAACTCCTCGGGGGAGCCGTACTCGGTGATGGTCTTCTTGGAGGTGGGCTGGATGATGACGGACACGCTGCTGTTGGCGTCGAAGTTGTCCTCGTAGCGGAGCACCTGCCCCGCGAACTCCCGCTCCTTGCTGGGGTTCCACTTGGACGGGATCAGCAGCTTGAACCCGTCGCCGCTGTACGCGATGTAGTCCGTGTTCGTCTTGACCTTGCCGAACACGTTGGCTGCCGATGCCGATCCATCGATGCACGCACGCGGATCAGTCGTCAGGCACTCATCAGGCTAATTAACTAAGGTAAGAGATGAATTAAGGACGCCGGCCGGTGGTTCCGTTAGTTACGTACCTGCTTCTCCGTAGGCGGCGGCGGCGGGGCTCACCTTGGCGCCGACGGCGGCGACGCCGGCGAGGAGCGCGAGCGCGGCGCGGCGAGAGACGTCGCTCTGATCCGCGGCGGCGTCCTGCTTCTGGGCCTTGCAGACGAACAGCTGGCTGCTGCGCGGGGCTGCGACGCGCGGCGACGCGCCGAGGCGGGCGGTGGACTGGTGGAGGAAGCAGGAGGTGGACGCCATGGCTATTCTTTGCTTGCTTTTTGCCGCCTGCCTCCGGACTGGGAGAAGAGTGTGGATGGCACTAGCGCGGGCGGGCGCGGGTGTGTTAGGCCGCGGCGTGTTAACGAGGGGAGGTGGCGGTGGGGTCGCCGGGGCGCGCCTACTTGTGGTGCGCGGCGCCCCAGCGGATGGAGTTTGGATCAGGGGCGACGCCGCGGGATAAGGCTCCGCGACGCGCCACTGGGCCACGTCGGATCGCGATGTTTGGGCAAACACGCACTACTGGCTCTCCCCGTCTCTCTCCCTCTCCCTCTCCGTTTGGCAGCACTGTCACGGTGTCTCTGCTCTCGTCTACGGCTACCTGCTGGTTGTACCACACGCTAGGGTGATCTAATTTGGCTTAAAATTTTATTACCCTGTCCTGAATGATAAGCAAGCAAATTCTGACTGAAAAAGGGTCACATTTTATGAATTTCGATTCACAAATAGTCAAATTATACACAAGTTTACGAAATAAAACTCGTGTCAATAGATTTGTATTCAAAGTTGCTCCAATAATATATTGATTTTAATTTTTTTTTAGCAATTGTCAACAAACTATAAGAGAACTTAAGAGTTCAAATACACTCCGTACGACTTTTCCCACGTCAAAATAAGTTCATCATTCCACCACACTAAACTATAAGAGAAGTTAAGAGTTCAAATACACTCCGTACGACTTTTCCCACGTCAAAATAAGTTCATCATTCCACTGCACTAAACTATAAGAGAACTTAAGAGTTCAAATACACTCCGTACGACTTTTCCCACGTCAAAATAAGTTCATCATTCCACCGCGCTTTCTAACGACCCATGTGTCGATCGATATGTTTCTTTCATGCATGAAGTCCACCAAGTCAGTGGATTGTTCCATCCATGACATGTCCAATGCCACTACACACCTAAGATGTTCCATCTTACCTTAAAGTTTTCAAATCTTTTGAATGAATGAAGTACTGAGAAAAAGGGTGGATGCTTTAGAAGGTCCTATGGTCTAGTTGAAGATCAGAAAGGTATGATGATGGACATTGCTTTAGCCTTTTATAAAGACCTGTTTAAAAAGGAAGACAAACTGAAGATTCCCCTATCTCATGATTTTTGGGAACAAGATGAGAGAGTGTTAGTTAGTGAAAATGATTTGTTGATATCTCCTCTTTCTGAGAATGAAATAAAGGATGTAGTTTGGAGTTGCTATGCTAAAGGTGCTCTAGGACCAGATGGGCTTTCCTTTATGTTTTATCATAAGTTTTGGGATCTTATTAAGACGGATTTGTTAGCCATGTTTGAGGATTTCTTTAAGGGTAATTTAGACCTATGCAGATTAAATTTTGCAATGCTATCTCTTATTCCAGAGTGGAAGGAGGTTAAGTCTGTGGAGAACTTTAGACCCATTAGTCTTATTAATTGTAGTTTTAAAATCTTCTCCAAAGTTCTTACTCTTAGGTTAGGTAAGATCATAGAAAGATTAGTGTCCCCACACCAAAGTGTTTTTATTCAGGGTACAAATATTCAGGGTGCATAGTTCAAATTCTTCTAAGGAACCTGGTATTATTATAAGACCAAGTTAGCTGAGATTTCATATTTGAGATCTTAGAATTAAGAGGTTTCAGTCCTATTTGGATTAGCTGGATAAGTCAGTTAGGGATGGTTCTATTGGAGTGAACCTAAATGGTGAAGAAAGTAAGTTTTTTAAACCAGGTAAAGGATTAAGACAAGGGGATCCTACCAATACTACACAAATGATTTTGCGAGATACTGCCCTCCTATTAACGGAGGCGGGCACAATAGGGTGTCGCCTCCGTTAATGGCTGGCTGCCCTTGGGGACAAGTGGTTGCCTCCATTAATGGTTAACGGAGGCGGACACTTTATGCCTACCACCTCCAAATAATGTTCAACTGAGACAAGAATGCACTGCAAGTAGTAGCAAAATTGCAATGCTTTTCAACCTGCATATGTTTAGCAAATGAGCAAAGATATATAGACAAATGACAAGAACATAGTCCATCAGATTACACCTTTCCGGCCAGACATCACCCAAACGAAAAGAATCGCAAAATGATCACATTAGAACTCAAAAGCATGGCGAAACTTCTGTTATTAATTTGTAATTGACAGCCTAGATGGCACTGAAGCACTGACATCGAACAAAGATTGGCGTCAGTTTTGCCCGCCGCCGCCGCCGTCACCACCGCCATTGCCGTCGACCATCTTGCTGATGAACTTGGGGATGGGGACCTCGTACCCAAACAGCGAGAAGTTGGGCGGCAGCTGCGGCATCTTAGGCCCCGACGGCATCGGCGGGAACGAGATGTTGGCGAGGCCAGAGAAGTCGGGCATCTTGGGGATCTCCGGGATGTCGGTGGGGAGAGCCGCCGCCCCAGGCTGGCCGGCAGTCTGCTGCTGCGCCGCGACGAGGCTGGCCAGCATCTCGGGCGTGATGTTCGCCGGCAGATGGTTCTGCACCGCCGGGAGCTTGGCCAGCACCTCGGGCGGCAGGTTCGCCGGCAGCTGGCCCTGCACCGCCGGGATGGTGGCCAGGATCTCGCTCGTCTGCAGCTGCCCCTGCGACGCCTCGATGTTGGCCAGCGTCTCCGGCGGGATGCTGGTCAGCAAGTCCGGCGGCACGTTGGCCGGGAGCTTCGCCAGCACCTCCGGTGGAAGGTTGCCGTAAGCTGGGACATTGGCCGGCTTGTTGGCGGGCATGCTCACCGGGAGGTTGGCCCGGATGTTCTCCGGCGACCCGGCGGGAGGAACCGGCGCCGGTGCACCTGCTGCTGCCTGGCCATTCGGAGCCGCCACAGGACGTTCGGCGAGATGGCGTTGGCCATTTGGAGCCGCCGAGGGACGTTCGGCGAGGAGGCGTGAGGATGCACAAAGATGGAGGTGGAAAGACAAAAAAATGGCCAGGAGAGTCACGGAGCCGAGAGGCCTCATTGTGACTTTCTCCCGTGGAATCGAGATTCCAAACCCAGCAAAATGGAGGGCTGCAAACAGAGATGGAAGATTGCCCAGGATATATATAAGAATCGAAAATAAAACGATGAAGCTAAATTTAGTGATATGCATGTTTAATGGCAACACGGCAAAATGATCAGCTTGCCGTGAGAAGCTGGGAATAGCTCTAAACAACAGAAATTCAGGCATATATATAGCCAGCTAAATATAGAATTCAAGTTCCACTCATGGTTCATTGGAACAACAGAAAACTTAGACATAGAAGACGCTAGATATATCTTTACACTACATTGGAACGACAGAAAACTGTCCGATATCCATGGCATGTCAGGAGAAACAGACTCGACTACCCCTGTTCGCTTGATCGTTTCTGTGGCTTATAAGCCGGCTGATACTGTTTTGTTGTGAGAGAAAAACACTGTATCATAGACTCGACTACTACTTGCAATTCCAGATATAAAAGACGCTAGATATATCTTTACAGTGCATTGGAAGAACAGAAAACTGTCAGATATTCATGTCACGTCAGGAGAAAGGAACTCATCATCATATCTCCATGTCTTGACGCTCTGATGCATGACCACTCGTGTTAAGGGCAGCATCCTGTGCCTTGACCTTTCCTTTCAGTTGTGCAAGGCCATCCATCACTGACTCGAACAGTGCATCAGATGTCGCAGCCTTCTCTGCGACATCATAGAACGATTTGCATAACACATCAAAACGCTGTGCAATTGGTGCGTTCACATTCTCATCAGACGAGCACGCAATAGAGGTGTGCCTACGCTCCAAACCCTTTCTCCACCTCTGCAGAACATACTTGGAGGGCACTTCTTTGATCTTCATTAGAGTAAGTACAGAGATGATATGGCAACACAAGATTCCTCGAAATTCAAAATGATGGCATGCGCATTTCACATCACACCCATCTCCGTTAAACCAGACACAGAAGTCCAATGTAAGTGGTTGCTCCCTGATTTTAACATCTTGAGCAACATTGAATGTGTAAGATGTACCTTCTTGTTTCACAAGTTTTGGATAACAGTAAATTTTACCTTTTAACTGCTCCTGAAATTCTTCAAATTTTTTATTTGTGTATACTAACTGGAACTGCTTCTCAATATCATAATGAGTGATGCAAGATGCCACTTCTTGAGAAGACTTAAAATCAGCATCTTTTTCCTTCTCAGCCATATCTCTTAGTGCTTTGCTGTATTTTTCCAGAAACTGGTTTATTGTCGTTCCGGAACTGACATATCCATCAGACAAAGCATATTCACTTTCACGCTCTTTTGTGACAGCCATGCCAGCCCAAAAGGTATCTTTTATATAAGCAGGTGCCCATTTTTGCCAATTAATGCACAGCTGAATAAGCCAGTCATTGCCTTGAAGGCCAAACTTGCTGATCATCTCAATCCAACCTTTCCCAAATTCACCTTTTGTCAGTGATTCATAGATCACATTTGAGAAAGTGAATTTAATGTCTTCTAACTTTGAAAGTCCACGGAGCTTTTCAGGGATTTTCTTCATGATACTCAACAGACACCAGCTATGGTAAGTTTGAGGAAAAACTTGCTCAACAGCAGCCTGCATTTCATCGCACTGATCGGTAATCATGCCTTTTGGTGGTTTGTTAGACATACAAGCTAACCAGGATTTGAACAACCATACAAAAGATTCTGTGTTCTGATTTGACAGTAGGCCGCAGCCCAGAAGAATTGGTTGTCCATGTTGATTTACACCAACGAAAGAGGCAAGAGGCACTTCATACTTGTTTGTTAGGTAGGCCGTGTCAAACTTCACAACATCCGAGAAAGATTCATATGCAGCCCTACTTCTTGCGTCTGCCCAGAAAACATTCCTCAGCCGGGAATTTTCGTCAAAGTCCATGGCATAGAAAAAGTTTGGATTCTTGGACTGCATGCGGAAGAAGTATTGATAAAGCACATGTGTATCTTCAGCACTAAACTTCAGCCATGTTTCCTCTTTAGAATTGTCTGTGCACTCATTCTCACCAAGCTGTGGATTTTCAAAGCCTCCAGCTTGCGCATTGTTCGCACAAACTTCTGACCTGCCACTTGACTCTAGCCTTCTTCTTTTAGCACTCACCCCAGTTGTCTTGTTCCGGCACACAATGACCCCTGTCTCGCTTGGACTCAAATCATGGTTGTGCTCGAGTATGAGTGAAGTTAAGCAGAACTTGTCAGGGCCATGAAGTCTAAAATTCAGTTTAGCTGGACACTGTGTTTTTGTGGAGGGATTCTGTTTCGATTTATTTCTGGAGCTGGTGCTGCACTGAGCTTTCCCCTGTCTGTTGCAAGCGAGAGTGAAATACTGCAAATTCTCGCCCGCGGTTTTGGAGGTCCTCCGTGTTATAGCGAACCCCTTCGCCCGAGCATATCTCTGACTGAACGCGATCGCGTCGTTCTCGCTATCAAATAGCATTCCCTTCACTGGCTCCATGAATCTTATCTCCTCGTTGACAAACTCACCCTCCGCATCAACTGCTTGCAGATCCGCGTTATCTTCCTGCGCCGCATCTGTGGATCCATTGCCTGCTAAGGCGACAAACTCATCCTCACCACCAGATGTCTGTAGGTCTGCATTGCCTCCGTACACCACCACTTTTAGGGGTTCGATTTCGGCCATTACCTAGAAACGCCAGGAAATCAAGAGAACCGCCTATTTAGAGCCCAATCCAGAAAGACGCAGAACAGAACTGGTGTAGTAGAAGCAAAGGTATAGGCATCAACCAACCAGGCAGGTGTTCTGTATCCAATAGAAACGTAGATGGCTTCTGGTTGTACAGCTTCAGGCCTTCAGAGACATGATTCCAGTGCTCAGTGAACACGAATACAGGATCGGCTACAATGTAAGGCAGAATGTTCAGAAGACGAATAAACAGCGGTAGCAGGACGACCGAAATGGTGAGGCAAGGATCCCAATCGAAATCGGATCTTCTGCTACACGGCACCACGCACGAACGACGAACCCTGCCCCAGATCTAGACAACACGCACCTGCAGCACGAGGATCCTCGATGACGCCGCTCCCCGCCGTGAGCGGGGCGGGCCGCACGAATCGCCCCCGCCGCCGTCGCTTTTTCAGCGGCGCGGATATCGGACGGGTTTCCCCAGGGGGCGCAGACGCAGTCACGCAGACGCAGGGATCGCCGAGTCGCAGAAATGCTCCCACAGGTGCGGACCGAGGAGAGGGTGTGCCCGCCCGGGAGGTGCGGCGGCGGCGGCCGGCAGAGCGAGTGGTGGCCGGTGACGGTGAGCAAGCGTTCAGCAAGCCCGGGGAACGAACAGCACGGAACGTTGGTTTTTCAGCCCAAGCAAGTAAAAAAAAATGGTTCTATAGCATCAAAGACCGTGACATCCGCAAAATTCCATCGCAAGACCGTGACATCTGCAAAATACCAGTTCGTCGTTGAAAGCAATAATCTATTTCGAAATCTAACATTCTGTTAACTTGTAGTTAACAACGTCTACCTCACACTCACTCGGTTTCGCTCAGATAGGATGGTCCCACTCGTCATCCTATCCCCACCCTCTCACCAATCCCCTTGGCATGTTGCACGGTCGCTCATTAGCGTCGGCCAAGCCCTCTCCACTCTTCGCTCGACTTCACTCAGATGGAGGGGTCTGGCAGAGAGGTGGTGCCCGATCGAGGACTTAGCTGTGGCGTATTGCTTTGTCTCACCGCACGCATACGTAGCTCGTCGTGTTGAGGCCATCCGTACGTCAAGCTATGCCAAAGACCCACCAGCCGTGGCTCCTGCCCCGTTGAGGACAAGCCATCCATGGGTGGCACGCGCTCTTAACTGCTTATGCATCCTTCTCCATCACCGACAGCCACGATGGATGACGACCCACCATTGTCGACCACAAGGATGTAAGGCTTCCGCAATGTTGCAATTGAGTGGTGCCAAAAGAAGAAAGAGAAGATTTTAGCTTCACTCCACACCGGAGGGAGAAGCCAACTCAGTGATGCCGGAAAAAAGGGGAGCGGTGCATCTCACGTGCTCCGGTGCACAGATGCCCAATCAATAAAATAATACAAAGAAAGAAGAGCGAGTGGCACATGCCATGGGCATGGGTGGTTTTCATTCTTTATTTCGCTTTGGTTGCATGGTGCTTCTACTGGGTCCCAAAGTGGTGCCGATCCTTCCACCCATCACCTTTTCGACGACGCCCAAAGAAGTGGTGGGGCCCAGTCTTTTCTTTTGGCCATTGCTTACCACCACAAGGATGTAAGTGCAGCAACTCATCACCATATAGCTCTACCCCTTTTTTTCGTGAATGTGGTGATGGACAGGACCTGCAGCCGCTGGTTCAATATGGTACATGTGCGTGGTGAACGGCGGCGAGTACAAAACCATTTGCAAAGTCATTGTCCAAAGCCCTGTGGCGAGCAATTTCTTAGCATCATTGTTCAATGAAGCAGTCACCATTACTCACCAGGTCATAAATGACGACCTCTGGCTTGGGGTTGTCACTAACGTCGCGGGATGTTGTTGAGCCAGAGGAGCATGGACATGGCAGACGTGGAGCCAAGGAGGTCTCACGCGTTAGGTGTGAGAAGGATGGAGATGTAGAATTGGACATGCTACTACCTACTATATATATGCTGTGGAGCATGTGGGTGGAGCCATGGAGATCTCCGGTGGGTAGAGGAGAATAGAAGTTCACAGCGTTATCTCAAAACTTAACGGAATAGTATTTTCAGATAACTGTTTATTCTTTCGGTGCTATTTTATGAATGAGCATACTTTCAATGGTACTTTCCGGATATTGAATTTTCCAAAAAAAAATGTTTTTCAGCCGAACCCACGTTGGGCCGTCGGCAGGCCACGGCCCATGAAGCGTTACGGGCATCACGGGGGCTCGTTTGGTCTTTGGTCCACACTTTGTTGCTAAACGTATGGCAGCAGTGTGTATGTCGGCGGTGGAGGAAAATATCACTGACAGGCATGGCCCACGCCTGCGAAACGTATGGCTGCCAGGAGGACGCCGTGAGCCCACACACAGCCCAATCAGGATAGTAGGCCCCGTGGCCCACCTGTCCGGCTTCCCTGTCGATGAACTAATTGCTCTTCCCCCAACTACCTTTCCTCTCCCGGTCTCCTCCCCCGGCCGCTCTGCCTCGCCATTGGTGAGCAAGAATCCCCGTTCGTTGCCTACTGTCATCGTCCCACAAGAACAGGGCGCCTCAATTCGAGCTCATCGCGTTGAACCGCTGTTCCTCGGTAAGTTCATCCTTTTCCTCCGGTCAATTTATACAAGCCTTATCCAATTCGTTTTTGCCGGCTAGTTGGTTGCTTTAGCTTTTCTGCAACCTGGACGGCTGGACCTGAATAAAGAATCCGCCGTGGAGGTGGACAAAAAGGAAGGCTGAGCTGTTGAGGAATTGTTTAGAGTTCCTGAGCTGTTCAGGATTCAGGCTATTAATTCAGAGTCGAGAGTAATACGCCATGTGCTCTGTTTAATCTCGTACTCTATTCAACTAATCGCCCCAGCAGCACCTGGGAGCTATTCTTCAAGGTGTATTCGTAAGCTTTTCGGCCTTTGTGCAGCAGACCTGTCTGTTACTCTGTTTTAGAAAATTTACAGGTAGAAGAAAGAGGCATATGGCTCCGAGTCACATTGACTGACTGATTCTGCATCTAACCTGTACGCACACGTGTTTCGTGATTCCAGGGCGGCAGGATCGAAGATGCCGGAGCATTCGGAGAACGCGGCGGCGGACCTGATGGGTAACATCATGGAGACCATCGCGGAGAACCTCCCAAAGCAGAAGTCGGTCCGGTTCGACGACGGCTCCTCCATCTCCGAGCAGGCCAAGAAGCTGTTCGGCGGCGGCGAGAACAGGAAGAAGTCGGTCCACCACGTGCTGGGCGGCGGGAAATGTACTTATTGCACCCACAAGTAGCAACGTAGTGATGTCATCAAGTGGCTGACTGTCTGTCTGCAAATTAATCCTCGTGATGAATGATGATGACTGACGATGGATGGCTGCAGCCGCCGACGTGCTGCTGTGGCGGAACAAGAAGATCTCGTCCAGCGTGCTGGGCGTGGCGACGCTGGTGTGGGTCTTCTTCGAGTGGCTGGACTACCACTTCCTCACCATCCTCTGCTTCCTGCTCGCGCTCGGCATGGCCGTCCAGTTCGCCTGGGCCACTTTCGCCGCCGTGCTCAGCAAAGGGTACGTATCCATTCGCCTGGGCCACACCACATTCGCCGTCCAGTACGTACTGCTCAACGCTATCCATTCCATATCCATTCCACCAGGTCCCCTTCCAGCGTGCCTCGCGTGCAGCTGCCGGAGGAGCTGTTCGCGAACGCCGGCGCGGCCGCCGGCGCCCAGTTGAACAGGACGCTGGGCTACCTCCAGGACGTGTCCTGCGGACGAGACCTCAAGCAGTTGCTCATCGTAAGTGATGCCGTCCGTGGTGCTGCTCTGTAGTCGACTCTGCATGCATCTCTTCACTGAACATTTTGCAGAATTGCAGTAGCTATCGTCACACTGACTGCTGAGCTTGCTTTCCTGTATATATATTGTTTACCATTGGTAATGGTAATTAATATAAGGTGATCGCCGGGTTCTTCGCGGCGGCCATCGTCGGCAGCTTCTGCAACTTCCTGACGGTCATCTACGTCGGTAATGATTTCTGAATTCTGGCAGTGCTTTCAGGGTTACAGTTCTGAAATCTGAATATTCTGTTTGCTGTCTGGCAACTGCTTATAGCTGCTGACGGATGGTGTGGTTGGTTTCAGGGTTCGTGTGCGCGCACACGCTGCCGGTACTGTACGAGAGGTACCAGGACCAGGTGGACGACTTCCTGTACAACATTCTGGGCGTGGTGCAGAGCCAGTACCGCAAGCTGGACACTAAGGGCATCCTCAAGGGCGGCGTCAGCAAGTTCAGGAAGAGCGACTAGTTCCATCCATCCATTCCCCCCTGCTTCATCAGCAGGAGCAGGGCGAGCGAGCCAGGTTGCCCTGCTGCCTGCTGTGTAATCAGTAATCTAATCTATGATTGCTTCAGCTTTCATCTCTCCTCTACCGAACAGAGATAGACAGTTGTTCTGTACAGAGAATAACCGCTGCTGCTGCTGCTGCTACATGCTTGTGTAATGATATGATATATTTAGCTTCGCGTGTACTGAATGCACGTTGCACTAAGGTTTACTACTTCCTTTCATGCTCATCTTTCTTCCTTGGAAATTAGTCGGCTGTGTCGCCCTTTTCGAAAACTGCCGTTGCTTGTTTTCCAGAGGAATTAACTTCTTTGATTTGTAATGTCGATCGAGTTGATAAGGATTCTGCATTTTTTTTTGTTGCGAGTCGCCCTCTCAGAACTCATTCAGAGAAGAAAGAAGCGAGGAGGAACCACAAAGGAAAAACTCTACATTACCTCCCTCAATTTTTGTGGAAGTATGCTTTTCTCTCCCTGAACTCTAAAACTAGATAAACCATCTTCCTGAACTTTTAAAACCGTTCGTTTTACCTCCCTGACCAGTTATAAGCGGTTTCAAAGGCGGTTTTGTATTTTTATTATTTTTTTATTTCGGCTGAATCTTTGAAAATTTATAGTAAATCAAACAAAAATCATGAAATGGAAACTCCAATTTTGTTGGACTCCACATGAGTAGATCTACACAATGAACATATAATATGATATGCTTTATTACAATTTTTTTGCTATAGCTTTAGATTTATGCTTTTCTATAATTAATTCAAAGCTACAGTTTTATGGTCCAATTATGGTGAAATTTTATAATGGTATAATTATTGTATGCTTGAACTGCAGTAAAAATTTCATACTCATTGGATCATGTATAACTTAGTTATAGAATAATCTAAAAAAGTCTAGGAAGGTGGTTTACCGGGTTTTAGAGTTCAGGGAGAAAAAGACGACTTTTACAAAAATTGAGAAAGATAATGTGAACTTTTTTCAAAACAGATATACCACATCATTTACGGGGCCGAGCGAACGCTCACTCTACGTGGGCTCTCGGCCCCGCTACCTCTGAGCTGCTCCGCAAAGCCCAGTACGCCCGCCCACTTTTGGGTTGGCACGCACAATGGTCACACTCACACATCCTTGCTGGGGTCCTGTCCTGTCCTTGGATGTCCACCATGGCGCGGCGGCGTGCACGCGGGGCTGAGGACGGAACGTGCACCGCGCCGCTCCACCACGTGGCGGCCGTGCGCCGCCGGACGCTCGCCATGAGCACCGCCAACTCGGACGGACAAGCCCCCGCGGTGGCCCACCAGTACCGGGGTGCCGTGATCTCCTGTGCAGTGGCGCAGTGTTACTCCATATCAACGTCCATCCATCGTACCAATGTACCACCCTCCACCTGAGTGGGCCACTTAATCGCTGCTACTCTTGCCTCCATGCCGTCAATCGTAGTGATCATGCATTACCACCCTGACCAACCTATGCAGGGGTGAAGCCACGTTGGCTTTCTCTGGTGCACGTGCACTACGATAAAACCAAAAATTACTAATGTCTACCTCATCTTTTCCATGTATTTTCTTTGTAATTGTATAGATTCCTTGATATTTGATAGAGAGTGCACCAGGGTTAGTTTTGAGCTGGCTTCGCCACTGAACCTATGTCACCATCTATTGTTCCGTGAGCGACGCCACTGATGCTTGATTTCTACCACCTACCGGATCCGTCACCACTCTTGCCCTGTACTGGCTCGGCGGGGTGAATCACCTCGTTCTTAGACACCCCAAATGGCTACCCTATGTCGTTAAGGACCAAGCAGCACCGGCATCACCATCTTGCTGTTCTACCCACCATTCGCCCGTTGTTGAGCCAGCCTTCCTCCCCAACCTTCTATCTATGACCAAGGATTAAAGGAAAGCTCGTCTGAGCTCAAACCCCCAAAGACAAACCCTAACCTCCTCTCAGGGTGACGATGAATATATTGTGGACAATGGAAGGGGGATGAAAGGGGAAGAAGGGGATGAAAGCATTCTTGTGTGAGGAGGGTGAAGAAACACTCAGGCTAAGGATCTGTTTGGGCCTGTTTGAATAAGGTACGAACGGTTTTTAGCTAGAACTAAAATTTAGCCAAAATTGGAGAGTTGGCTAAAAAATTAACCCACCTATTAGCCCTTTGTTTGCATGGGCTAGTTATTTGAAACATTAGCTGACAACAATTAGCCATATGCATCAAATAGGCTCTGAGTTTAGCGGTCCTGTTTTAGCCTTTCATAAATGATTTGATAAGGAAATAAGATAACTTATGGAATTAGCTAGAAGACATGTGTGGGCACTTACGTGCAAACACTCTCACACGCACATTGTTTGACTGTGTAACATTTGATTTACTCACAAGATAATAAGACTATACTAGGTGACAATGGCCAAGTGATTCTTAAACTTTTCGAGATCTGTCAGCTGTTAACTAGGTCACTGTCAACTAAGTACGTCCACGTACCGACGAGCCAGCGTACCAACAATGCACATGCATATGCCCCTGAACTGTTGAAAAAGAATAGGCGACCTGGCACTCACGCAACCGTTTTTTTGTTAACATATAATGGTACTACTACTGTAACTCGCTATATTGGCACAGAAAATCCAACGCCGTGAAGCCACGTCAGATGCCGAGGTGGGCCCAACCGGACATCGCTGTGCATGTGTCCTTGGAAAAAAACTGAAAAGCAAGGGAGAGCCGGGGTATGGGTATCTGTGCTCCTCTGGCTTTACAGAGAGATGAGATCTGTTTGCGGTGCCTTTTGCAATGCTGCACCAGTAATCTCATGGTGTCATCATCTTTCGTCCATCTTCCCAGATACTGTGAGATCTTTTCTCCACTTGCCGGCTGGCCGGTGATTCCTCCTGGCGATTAACCGAGCTAGCTAGCCATGAAGCCCTGCTCTCTGCGAAGAGGCGCTAGCTCGATCTGGACCTCTCGCTCCGATCTGCAACGTGGCGCACGGACGCCAAGGAGAGACCTCGGCGACAATGGCTATAAATACCTCCACCTGCTCGCCAACCCTCCTCCAACAACCAAGCAAGCAAGTAGCTATAGCTAGCTAGCTAGCTAGAGCTTCTGAGCTTCACACTAGTAAGCTACTAGCTCCACAGACCACAGTACTGCTAGCTCACTCGTCACTGACCACTCTAGCTTCTTCTTGCTCGAGCTAATAGCTAGCTAGGTCGAGGGGGGTGAGAAGTAGGCATGGCGGTTATGGCCAGGTCTGACGATCAGTACTGCGATCGCCTTGTGTGGGCATTGCCCATGGAGGGCAACCTCAGGGGCTGCCGCGGCACCGGCGACGATGACGATGACGACTATGACGTCGCTCCGGCTGCGTAACTAACGGATCTGCAGTATGCAAAGGCATGATGATCTAGGCAGCAGCTAGCAGCAGTGAGAGTGTAAAAGCGATGATGAGTATGTACGTGTGCTGAGGTTTCGAGGTGATGTATATGTCTTGCCTCCGAGGTAATGAATAACTTAATTTACTCGATCTTGTAGTAATATATAGCTTGCTTAGCTAGTTATACTAGAAATAATAAAGAGGCATCCATGACTGATGAGCAGCTAATGATGTAGTGGGTAAGTCAGGATATATAATTGCTGTCCAAAGGAGTCCATATGTATTTATATGGATGTTGGTGTAATAAACAGAGGTCAGGAGTTGTGTACTACTTTAACTATCTAAAGGAAATAAGTTAAGGACTTTATTTGGTTTTATTTTCTCTGTGTTTGTCTGTTTGAAAAGGACAGCCGGAAGGTGAATTAATTGGATATGGATGAAAGCACCATAAATTAAACAAAGAAGACATATATGAAATAATTGTATTGGAAGATATTGAATGTTAGCTCAAAAGTTCCATATACCCTAAACTTGTGAGTACGTGCTGGAGGTCGATGAATATGTCTTCTAAACGAAAGGCTTCTAGGGAACAATAATAATATATATCAGAAAATAAGGTTTTCCTAGGGCATCATATTAATCTCCTCCCCCCTAAATCCTTCACTTTTAGTATTGCCAGAGAAGATTTTGTGGCAGATCCTCTTTACCTTTAATGGACTTTTAAGCATGTATTGTCTGAGAGAACTTTGGTGCAAATAAAACAAGCATACTTATTTGTCCTTATGGAGTTGATGCACTTATTTAGATATATATAAGTAGAAACAATGCTCATTTCCGATAGATTATATCCCAACAGGTGAATAAGTTGATCCAATTATATATTAACCACTCTTTTTTGTGCTTTTCTTTAAAAAATGTACATATGGGTCATTTTTTTCTTCGAATTTAATGAACAACTAAGCTCTTGCCATTGTTTTAAAAAAATTGAAGATATGTATGGGGCCTATATAACTATTTATCATGCATGAGAAAAGAAAAAACAACCTCGAAAGTCTGATTCTTATAGAATGCAAAGTTAAGCCTTCAACAATTATTCTCTGATGTGCCATATTCTGCATCTCTGTGCTCTAGTAATCAATACAAAAAATATATTATTTATCATATAGTATCTGGTTAAGGGCATATAATCATGCACATACTCGATGCACACGTTCACTAAATGAGGATATCTTGGCGGTTTACTTCAACATCCAAGAAATACATATTTCCTTAGGTTGATGTTCACAGCCAAGGAAACTACATTTTCTTTGTCGGTTTCATTTTGGCACTCAAGAAAATTCTTGGCCCTCAAGATACTCATTTCGGATTTTGCATAATATCGACATGTACTATTAGTTCAGCATATGGATCTTAATTAGGATTTCTATGTGTGTATTCCAAGCCGCAGTGAAGGTGAAGCAAGTAGTGCACCACTTGATTACTACAGTAGAATATAATTTGCCAGATGATAATATATACTTAGGTTAACCATGTCAAGATTAGCACACAGCTTGTTACGTGGTCGATGGTCCTTACATATAGACACTTAGAC